AAGTTTTAACGAACTATTTTTCGTGCTATTTACTTTATTTTTCTTGTTTTTAATAGTGTATTCTGTGTGTGTGTATTATTTAAACAAAATTCAACAAACTTTCGTAAAACTTCAAGTTTTTATTAAGAATAATAACAGAATTATGTATGCAGTTTTGTAGTCCATTAAATTTTAATACAATAAAGTGCAAGTTTGATGCTGAAAATCCTTTGATTTTTGATTTTTTTTGCTAGCGGTGCTGTGCATTTGTACGAAAAAATTGTAGAACGTACCTTTTACGTTTTATTAACAACACCAATCTAGACGTCGTCAAATTAGCGGCCTTTGTTATCGTTAACGACAACAGCTGATTTGGCGCTAACGAATGTTGTTAGGGAAACGTTTACCGAATAGCTAAATTGTTAAAATTGTCATTTAGCTGACTTAACAATAACAAGAGGTGTTAAAATCTCGTAGTGAATCGCACCACTGGTTCCCCCTACAATCTGCACGGTATGTCAGACCAGGATATTCCGTAATGCGACATCAGTCAAGTGTAACACCTGCCTTGGCTGGTGCCACTTTAGGGCATGCTCAAGTCTGCGTACCACGCGAGATTGGACTGGGAACTTTGAGGGCCCGTGTTGCGCTGCTCGATCGCAGACCTCAACTGCGACGCCTCCCGCCACCACCACAGGGCGGCAACCATCACAGCAGCGCACACAGCCAACTGCGGTAAGAACACACACATCCCTTACACCCCACATCACGACACGTCTCCCGAGCCACATGAAGCTCCTTCAATTTAACTGCAACGGGCTACAGAGCAAGATTGAGGAGATAACCGTCTTCATGTGTCGGCATGGTATATTGATAGCTGCGGTCCAAGAGACGAAGTTGCACAGCCATTCAACTTTGTTGAATTGCGCCGGGTTCAACGTGCACCGTCGAGATCGCGAGCGAGATAATGGTCGTGGCTTAGCGTTCATCACGCACCACACCGTGCAGTATCGTATTATCGAAGCAGACATCGCAGGGATACCACCCGGTCAGGCGATGTTGAGCTCGAAATATTTAACATATACATACCCCCTGTCACCTGCTGCCCGGCAGGATATCACCCTGATATAGGTGCGCTCCTCAGAGGTGAAAACCGTATGGTAGTAGGTGACTTTAATGCGCACCACGATCTTTGGCACTCAAGCCTGTCAAACGATCGTAGGGGAACAGACTTGGCTGAGCAGATAGACTGTTGAGAAGGAATACTGCATACCAAATTTACATGTTTTAGAATTTTAGAATGCGACCCTGCGTGGCGCTTTAAATTACCATAAAAGTTAAGTCCGGTAGCACTACCAATTGTAATGTGTCTAAAGAAAAGTTAAATCGTTCATTTCTGAAAGGAACGAGTACAAGGGCACACGAAAGTGTAAGCCGCGAAGTATCTTTTGCACTTATATTTAAACTTTCTCTTTCCATAGGAAAATAAAACACACCACAATTTTCAAGCTACAGAACGCAGTTTTATTTTGGCCCTTGTAGGGTTCCTTCGGAATACCTTTTATTTTCACTTTCTGGCAATTTACTACCAGAAGTGTGGCGCAGCACAGCGGAACCCCAGGAGCAAGTTACATCTATAATCAGGAATAGCCAGTGAAGTGCCGGTAAGCGTATCCTTCAGGTTTAGGGGTATAGTTAGGTCAATCGGGAGTGCTAGGTAGGGAATTAAGCGATTAATTAATGCCAGTAACGAGATCCGCATCGAAAATGGCGGACAGCGAAAATGAACTCGACGAAACCGTTCGAGAACTTTCTGCAGCCGCTAACCAACAAAGTGCCGCTAGTGTAACGGCACAGTTAGCTGCAATGATGCAGGAAATCCAAAACCTTAAAACAGCATTGGCGCAACAACAGCAAAACGTAGCGGCAACGGCGGACACGAACAGTGAAGGCGATGAAGCGGTAGGCAATACATTGGTAGCTGCGGTCAGTGAGCTGAATCGCGCATTATCACATGTGCCGACACAACCTGTGATCAGGTTATACGACCTTCCCGAGTTCGATGGTCGACCGGAAGACTGACCTATGTTTAGGGAAGCGTTTACTGCTACGACGGAAGAGTACCACTACACCGAGCGCCAGAATATGTTAAGGTTGCAGAAGGCATTGAAGGGTAAGGCGCGGGAGACAGTCGAATGTCTGCTGATACACAGCGCGAATGTTACTCGGGTTCTAGATACGCTTAAGGAACGATTTGGCAGACCAGAGTTGCTAATCAAAAGCCCATTTACGCGTATACGTAACGTTCCGAACATTCCGGAAAACAAAATCGACCAAATTATTACGTTTGCAACAAAAGTACAAAACCTAGCGTCATTTCTAAACGCCGCCGACTGTGACCACCACCTTAGCAATCCTATTTTAATGGAGGAGCTCGTATCGAAGCTACCCGTACAGCGCAAGTTAGCATGGGTGCGGTATTCCTTGGGCATACAACCAAGACCAACGGTTCTACACCTTAGCGAGTGGCTGCAAGAAGAGGCGCGAGTAATCAGCACGGTTTGTACCACCATGGGTGACACGGAGCGGCAGTCGGAAGCGAAAGCGGAAAGACGTCAGAGATTTTTCCACACTACAGAGTCGCGAGAGTTACACAAGGGCGAGTGCAAGATGTGCTTCGGCTACCATGACCTCGAGCGGTGCAGCCAGTTCTTAGGTCTTCCGTACAAGCAGAGGTGGCGCTTCGTACGTGAAAAGGGCCTTTGTTTTAATTGCTTGAGTCTTGGGCACAGAGGCACAACATGTAGGCGCAAACACGATTGCGCGGACGTTAGGTGTGTAAAAAAATGCCACGCACTTCTACACGAGCCTCGGCCCCAAAGAGAAGAGAGTTTCCAGCAGACCGAGCAAAGGCCGCGTATACTTACCAATGCCGAGGTATCACCTGGGGGTCAACATCTATTGTTTAAAATACTTCAAGTTAAACTGTTTTCTAATGGTAAGAGTGTAAACAGTTATGCACTCCTCGACGAAGGGTCATCGCTAAGCTTGATGAATGAGAGTCTCGCAACTAAGCTTGGTATCACTGGACCGAAGCAACAATTAACCTTACAGTGGTTCGGTAACAATATAGCAACGGAATCTTCGATAGCGGTAAACATGGAGATAGCAGGCGTGGGCCAAGGGTGTAAAAGGTTTCCCCTTCGTAACGTTAGGACAGTGAGGAATCTGCAGCTACCGAAACAGACGCTCAATATCAACGAACTCCACGTACGGCAACGGCATTTGAAGAAACTGCCTGTAGAGGGCTATACGGATGTCACTCCAGATCTACTGATAGGACTAGACAACGCTCACCTAGGTATCGCGAAGCGCATTGCCAATGATGGCCAGCGGGGTCCGGTCGCAGTTTTGACTCAGCTTGGTTGGGTGATCTACGGCTCCATGCATAGAAAGAACGAAACGGATGGACTAGTATTTCTGGTGCGGGAACACGTCGCGTACACGACGTTCGAAGATGAATCTGCGGACCATCTGGTCAGGAACTTCGTGGTGAGCGACGACTTGGGGTTTGCATCTAGCGTTAAACATGTAGAACCGCAGGAAGAATTAAGAGCTCGAAGCATATTAAAAAAAAAACACGGTACTAGTTGGCGATCACTATGAAACAGGGTTGTTATGGAGAACCGACGATAGCATATTGGAACATACCCGCGGCATGGCAGAGAGGAGGCTCCTGGCACTGGAAAGAAAATTCACACGTAGCGAACAGTTAAGGTGCGAGCACATCAATATGATGAGACACAACGGCGCGGGAGGATACTCCAGGAAATTGAGTAAAGATGAGGCCTCGGCAAACCATCCAAGAACGTGGTATTTACCACACTTCGGCGTCCTTAATCCGAACAAGAATGGGAAGGTGCGCCTCGTGTTCGATGCAGCGCGCAGGTCTCGGGAAGATCCCTGAACTCTTACTTACTAAGTGGCCCGGATTTAGGAAGGCCAATGCTTGGGGTACTCATGAAGTTTCGTCAGCGTCCAATACCCGTCTCTGCTGACATCGAAGAGATGTTCCACCAGGTCGCTATTCGAGAAGAAGACCAACCAGCGCAAAGGTTTCTGTGGAGGAAATCCCCCGAAGACGACATTGAAGAGTACTGCATGAGAGTGATGACGTTTGGAGCAACGTGTTCGCCCTGCTCACCGCAGCATGTAAAGAATACGAACGCACTTCGGTTTACCCAGGATTTTCCTGAGGCAGTAGACGCGATATTGCACAACCACTACGTGGACGATTTCGTTCACTGCTTTGACGACGCAGAAGAAGCTGTGCGAATAGCGCAACAAGTAAAGATGATTCACAAGAAAGGTGGATTTAACCTAAAAAGATTGGTTTCCAACTCGCGAGAAGTGAACGACGCTCTGAACAGGGGGCATCACTCCGGAATGCTGAAAGATTTTGATAAACCAGATTCGGGCCATCCCAAGGTTTTAGGAATGCAGTGGGATACGGTGCATGACGAGCTAAAGTTCGTCCTCGCCTTCGGCCGCGTCGACACAGAGCTGTTACGAGGGAAGCGTGTCCCAACAAAACGCGAACTACTCCGCGTTACAATGTCTGTCTTCGATCCATTTGGAATTGCAGCGGAGCACGTGCTCAAGGCAAAATTATTGTTGCAAATGGTTTGGTTTACGTTGCCCATCGGGTGAATGAAATCCTCGATGGAACCACACCGAACGAGTGGAGGTGGACACATGATCCCTAAATCCTGCTGACTTTGGTACGCGGCTCCAAAGCACCACCCGACAGTCATCCTGGCTCAGTGGCCCGGACTTCGTGAAGGAAGACGACATTCTGGCCAAGGGTCAAGGCTGCTGAAGGCACCACGGAGGAACTACGAGCTCAATACATGGTGTTATTTGCTACGCTTAATGAGGACGTCTTGCCCAGGGTTTCATCGTTCTTACGGTTGGTAAGGGTGGTTGCCTTCATGCGCAGATTCATACACAACAGCTCCAACATGGTACAGAAGAGGTTAGCGGGCAGGCTGACGGTAAGGGAGCTAAGAGAAGCTGAGCTATTGGTCATTCGCGCTGCACAACAGAGCGCCTATCCAGACGAATACTGTGATCTGAAGAGCCGCAAGCAGATTAATGCAAGGAGCAAACTGTTCAAGCTAACATCGTTTCTAAACGACATGGGCGTGATACGAGGAAATGGCCGCCTTCGAAATGCTGTAGCCGTTTCCGCACACACTCGCGAGCCCGTAGTGATGCCACAGCGGCACCAAACTACGGACCTCATCGTGGACTTTTACCATAGAACTTGGAAACACCAAAATGAAAACACCATCGTTGCCGAGTTACGTCGTAAATATTGGATACCCCACATAAGAGAAGAGGTACGAAGGGCGGCTAAAAGATGTTTCCAATGCCAGAAAGAACGCGCAAAGCCAGACTTGCCGCAAATGGGCCAATTACCCTCGGATCTCCAAACGCCCTTCATTAGGCCATTTTCGTACGTAGGGCTAGATTACATGGGACCGTTCTTGGTTGTAAATGGAAGGCGCACAGAAAATCGATGGATTGCGCTGTTCACTTGGTTGACGATGCGCGCGGTGCACCTGGAAATCGCCAAGGACCTGACCACCAATACCTGTTTGTTGTGCATCAAAAGTTTTATGTGCCGGCGAGGAACACCAGTGCGAATAAGGTCGGATAATGGCACCAACTTCGTTGGTGCGGACCGAGAATTGAAGAAGCAGCTCGAAGATTTCAATGATGGGAAAATTGCGGACGCGCTGTCGAACCAGGGTATCGAATGGGTGTTTAACTGCCCGCTTAACCCCCACGTCGGCGAATGTTGGGAACGGCTGGTGCGCAGCGTGAAGCGCGCAATGCAACATGCACTTACAAACGAGCGGCTGCCAGAACAAACCTTGTATAGCGGGATGTGCGAAGCCGAGAATGTAGTTAACTCGAGGCCGCTAACGCATATTCCTCTCGATACTCCCGACGAAGAACCACTAACCCCTAACCACTTTCTCCTAGGTACAGCTAATTCCGTGCAAACTCCTCATCCACAAGAAGAGTCCTTCCGGGTTACTAGGACGCAGTGGCGAAAAATGCAACAAATCCACCGATTCTGGAAGAAGTGGCTGGTGGAGTATCTCCCAGACTTGTGCCGTAGGACGAAGTGGTGGAAGCCCGTGAAACCGTTGTCTATCGGAGACCTGGTGCTAGTGTGCGATGTACGCCTTCATCGGTCCAAGTGGCGAATTGGGCGGATAATCAACGTCAAGCTCGGTCACGATGGACAAGTTCGTGTGGCTGAAGTGAAGACATCTGGGGGAACGTTCCAACGACCGGCGTGTGTATTGGCTAAATTGGACGTTAGTGAATCAAACAGCGGATAGATTCACGGGGCCCGGGATGTTGAGAAGGAATACTGCATACCAAATTTACATGTTTTAGAATGCGACCCTGCGTGGCGCTTTAAATTACCATAAAAGTTAAGTCCGGTAGCACTACCAATGTAATGTGTCATTTCTGAAAGGAACGAGTACAAGGACACACGAAAGTGTAAGCCGCGAAGTATCTTTTGCACTTATATTTAAACTTTCTTTTTCCATAGGAAAATAAAACACACCACAATTTTCAAGCTACAGAACCCAGTTTTATTTTGGCCCTTGTAGGGTTCCTTCGGAATATAGACGATTCGACATTCTGCACAATGAACGACGACGCACCCACCAGGATTATGGGTAACTGCAGTAGCTCGCCAGACATCACCATAGTCAGCGCTGGTCTGATAAACAGCATAACATGGCGACCTATGCTGACTTTAGCATCAGACCACCTACCCATAGTCATCTCGATAGATAAACCAACCGACTTTGACTCCGCCAAACACCGGACCTTTATCAACTTTTCTAAAGCTGATTGGAAAGGTTACGCGGAGTTTACCGAAAACACCTTCACAGCGCTTCCCACACCAACCGACGTCCATCTCGGTGAACGTAAGTTCCGCAGGGCTGTCACTGCTGCTGCAGATCGCTTCATGCCGGCAGGATGTATAACGGACCCACGTCCAGATTTCCCTTCTGAAGCGGCTGTTCTAGCCGATGAGCGTGATAGCCTTCGTCAGGCCGATCCCGGAGATCCCCGTATCAGGGATCTCAACGCGAAGATTCGGCAACTAGTTACGTACATAAGCGGAGGAAGTGAGAGGAGCATCTGAAGACCTGTAACTTCACCTCTGGTGTGAGCAAGCTTTGGTCAACCGTGACGTCGCTTTCCAATCCGACGAAGCACGACGACAGAGTCGACATTTCCTTCGGCGACCATGCTTCGTCGGACCCGGAGCGATGCGCGAGCTATTTTAGCCGGCAGTTCATACTGCATCCTCCGGTGGACATAGCCAAGCGTCGAGTGACCAGAAGGCTGCACAAACTGCCAACAACCTGTGCCCCCCTTGCTTTCACTTGCGGTGAAGTTCAGGTGGCCATCGGGAAGGCGAAAGCCTCCAAAATCACGGGTTCCGACGGAATATGCATGCTGATGCTGAAAAATTTGGGTCCTGCGGGGGTAGCGTACCTAACGGAGGTCCTCAACTTGTCCACTCTCATCATCCCAGACACCTGGAAGGTGGGGAGAGTGGTCCCACTGCTCAAACCGGGGAAACCTGCCAACAAAGGAGATTCTTATCGTCCGATAACACCCCTTTCCCCGGTAGTGAAGACACTCGAGGCCTTGCTACTCCCGTACTTCACAAACCACTTAACCCCAGCGAAGCATCAGCATGGTTTCTGTAAAGTGCACAGTACAACAACAGCACTTAACGCCATAAACACTCAGATAACTCGTGGCCTTAACCGAAACCGTCCCTGTGAGAGAACGATTCTAGTAGCGTTGGACTTGTCAAAGGCGTTTGACACCGTCTGCCATTCCACGCTACTAGAAGATATAGAGGCCTCCTCCCTCCCACAGAGGCTCAAACGGTGGTCGGCAAATTATCTGAGTGGTCGACACTCGTCGGCAATGTTTAGAGACAAAACGAGTAAACTGAGGAAAATTAAACAGGGGGTTCCACAGGGTGGTGTCCTTTCCCCGCTACTGTTTAACTTTTGCATTTCAAAGCTCCCTCAACCACCAGAGGGAGTCTCGATTGTCTCTTATGCCGACGATTGCACGATCATGGCGACTGGGAATGGTATTGATGACCTGTGTTCGAAAGTAAACGGGTATCTCTCCGAACTTTCTCGCTTCTTCACTGCAAAGTGTCTAGCCCTCTCCCCTACGAAATCCTCTGCGACCCTGTTCACAACCTGGACAAAGGAGGTCAGGCTATCGCTGGGAATTCACGTCGATGACACACCAATTCCGACGGTGAATAACCCCAAAATACTCTGAGTAACATTTGACAGCCTGCTCTCCTTCTCTGCGCACGCAACCGCTATTGTCAATAAAGTAAAGAGCCGCAACAAGGTCCTCAAGTCGCTAGCCGGCAGTACTTGGGGCAAAGACAAAGAAACGTTGCTGGCAACATACAAGGCAATAAACCGCCGGTTTTGAACTACGCAGCGCCAGTGTGGTCGCCGGGGACTAGTAGGACGCAGTGGACGAAGCTACAGACTGCACAGAACACCACACTCAGGACAGCGACATGATGCCTCCTGATGTCGCCCGAACACCATCTCCACGGCGAGGCGCAAATGCTCCCCGTAAAGGAGCACAACATAATGCTCTGCAAGCAGTTCCTGATCGGGAGCCACAGAAGTGGCCACCCAAACAGACAGCTGCTTGCAGAGGGGCCCTCGCCTAGGCACGTCAGGAGGCATCTTTATAAATTGACGGACGAAGTCCAGAGGTTCATCAAGCAACCTCTGGAACCAACAGCTTACCGACAGGCCCTGAACGGCATTCACAGGGAGTCAGTCTCGAGTTATGTAGACTCTAGACCTGTGAATGCCGTTCTAGGCATACTGCTCCCGGACAGAGACGAGACGGAGCTTCATCTGCCTCGGGAGACACGAACGACACTAGCACAACTTCGCTCCGGTTACTGCAGCAGGTTAAACTCCTACCTGAGTAGATTGAATGAAGATGTGTCAAATGAGTGTCCTGCATGCGGAGAGACCCCACATGACTCGAAACATCTCTTCGCATGCCCGGAAAACCCGACAACCCTAACGGCCTTGTCCCTGTGGACAAACCCCACAGAAGCTGCACGCTTCCTAGAGCTGCCGTTAGTGGAACTTGACGACAACGACTGAGATACCAACCGTCCTGGACCGGGTTGTTGTAGCCGCTACAACAACAACAACAAAAGTGGGTGTTAAAATAATGTGTAGACCCTTGACTAGAAGTGCGTGCAAATTTTTTTTGGATCGAATCACCCCTTTGGACGCAACACTTCGAAATAAACCGGCAACGTGCTAAAGAGTACCCACGCATTACTTTAACACCCACTTTTGTAATTTTTGGTCACTAATTTATTTACAAATTGGGTTTGAAATATGCCCTTTTTGTAAAATTCTAAAATTAGCGTACATTTATCACTCCTATTCTCCTTAAAGCAGCCACTTCACCAATATTTTTTCGTATTCCCTTCACTTTACACTTTACTCGATTAGTTATAACTTTCTTTACCAAGAATGATAGAATATAAGATTGCGCCAATCGAGCTGAGAGCAACTGGGTGTGACGTCACATTATTTTGAGAATGAGAGTGTAAAGCAGTGTTGCCAGTTTGCGGGATTTCGCCCTATTTTCGGGATTTTATGACTAAAAAGGGCGAATGGTATTTTCTGTCGAAAAACGGTATTTTTTTGTATACAATACCAAGCAAACAAATTTAGTAATTGATGAATAAGAAAAAGCTGCTCACTGTGGTAAATTAACACCGTTCATATGAACCATATCAGCGGATTTTCATTCAGTTTAAATGAATTGTAATATCAAGTTTATGGGTTATACAAAAAGTAATTGGGAAAAATAAACTGATATAAGTTAAAAAAACGTCTGGGGAATTCGGGAAGTTGTGAATTTTGAAAACATTCAAAAATTTCCAATCCGAGCTGGCTGGTTTAAACTAAGATTAGCCAATTAAATATCAGCCATCTGATCAATTTAAACGCGAAAACGTATGAAAAGGCTGTTTGTTAAAATATGAACGTAGGAAAAGGCTGTTTGTGTAAAATATGTAGGTATATAATGGCGGGAAAATTTGTATTGGAGATTTTTTCAACTATGCGCGTATTGCGCATACATACGTGTAATTCTAAGCAACTTTGCCGATGAAACTATGGCTCTAAAATCAATTTGAAATTGGCCACATTGTGAAAATAGGTTTCTTAGCACTTTGCTGAAGTATAGTAAAGAATTGCTTAAATTTTGAACAAAACCATGCTGTATGGGTTTTTTTGGTATGAGGAAACCATTTCTGCACCTCTCTTTTTCTTAAAACTTCCACCAGAGGGCCCAACTTCAAAAATTTCCACATTTTCTTCTAAGCAAACTCCTAATTGATTTTAAACCGATGGTTTCCTCGGCAAAGTTGCGTCTAATTACAAGTAGAATCCTTTTATGCTATACGCGCATAGTAAAAAAAATTGACCCGCCCTAACGTATATAAATCCTATGTATATTGCATATCTATGTACATTAGGGTGCTTTTTTGGCGACTATTGATTTTTTTTGTTACTCCTACCTCGAAATTTCGTGGAAAACACATAAAAAAACTCCCTGAAAATTTTAACCCTTAATATTAAACTTTGATTTTTTTTTTAACTCTACAGCTCAGAATCATTTTATGGTATAATCTTGGTCAATGATGGGTTGTCTTCAAAATTGAATGCTCTACAAAAGTGTCCATTGCGGTGTAATCCTTACTCCCACCAGCGAGGTAGTACGGGTCACTAAACCCAATTTTTTTTATGAAATTCTTCTAATGTACATACATACTTGTATTTTTCATTCGAAAGCATTTTATGTATAATAGTTACATACAGCGCGGGATTTCTGTAATATCTTTAGTATAAAACGGGATTTAGGATGTATTTAGACGGGATTTTATTAACGCAGTTACTTGCAACACTGGTGTAAAGAATAATTTTGAAGAAGAAGAGGAAGAAGCGAACAAGTGGTGATGTAAAACTAGGTTGAATTGTACCTACTCTTCAGCTTCTTTAATTTGAACATACATTCGGTACAAGCACATTATTTTAGGTACATTTTGAATGTAGTAAAATATTGTTTCATGTAAGTAGAAAAATTGTTATGGTACAAAAGGATGATGTAGTCCACCAACTACCAAAAATGTATGCACATAAAAATACATGTTTACTGTTTAGGTACGTATATCTACTTTTAGGTACAACTTTTCGGCAAATTTTTATAGCAAATTTTTAAATAG